GAGGTTGAACCCATGGGTGCTGTACCACTGAGTTATATCCCGCCCCCTTTTTGTAGTGCTGGGGATTAGAACCCAGGGCCTTATGTATGCAAGGCAAGCACTCTAGGGACTTAGCCATATCCCCAGCTCCATGTCCCCCAGCCCTTTTTAATTTTTATTTTGAGACAGTTTCTATTTTGAGACAGTTTCTTGCTAGATTGCCTAGGCTGGCTGCAAACTTGTGATCCTCTTAATTTAGCCTCAAGAGTTGCTGGAATTATAGGAGCGTGGCTGACAGGCAGTTTTGAAGACTCAAAAAATAACTTGTTCTGAGAGAGTAACATGCAGTGAGACCAATATTTGTGATACAAAATAATTTGACTTTCGGGAAGGATTTTTGGAGTTTTTAAGACACAGCATTATGTAAAACTTAAGCTTCCCACCTTTCACCCTCTGGGGAGGCAAGACTCAGTCTGTGGCCTCAGGAGTAGTGGTGGCTCTTTGTGTCTTGTGGTCCCAGTTTCTGCATGTCTCCAGCTTGTTCCTGCAAGCTGTTGAGGTCATGGACTCCCTGGGACCTGAACGCACCTGCCATCAGCTTCTCCTGTGAGGTGGAGCTGTCTGGTGCACAGAGGCTGACAGCATTTGTTGATGCAGATAACTGAAGCAGAGATGAAGCTTTTAAACTTCTCTAGTAAATGGCCTTTAGTGCGTTTCTATGTATCACTATACTCAGAGGAATCCATCCACCCTGGAGTGATAACTACTGGAGATGGTTGTGGGAGACCAACCTTGCATGTAACTGAGTCACACTCCCCTGCTGGGTGCTGAGGCGCTCAGCCACAGAAATGTGGCAGAGCTTTCCCCACCCTTCTTGGGTGGGAGGGTGTGTCTTGCTACAGCCCCTGGGTGAAGCTATGCTCACCTGTTCCTTTGTAATATCCACCCCTTGCCCTGTTTAGGATAGAATCTTCCATGGAAGTGCCTTGCGTGTGTCCCCTTCTCCTACTGTGTCCTTGGGTGTGGCCTACCCAGGTGTCAGTCAGTCTGCTGACAGTGGACATCATGAAGATACTCAGCCCTCTGAAACCTGACCCTTTGTCTCATTTGAATAGTTTCTCCTCAATAAAAGGGGTCAGCGCGTGCTCTCTCTTCCTGCGGACCCTTAAAGTCAGAGGAGCTGTCACAGCGACCCCAAAGAGAAAGGTATTTGTGTCTCTTGTGTGGTTATTTCATGCAGCCCAGTTAGCCCAGTTCAACCCCTGAGCCTTTTAGTTGCGAGAACAGAAACCTGCCAATTGCCGTCCAACATGGGGGCCAAAGGTCTGAGTCTTTAAGCCACCAGGACAAAAGCAACAAATGCTGGGCTGTAAGGAGTTACATTACAAAGGAACAGGTGAGCGTAGCTTCACCTTGGGGCTGTAGGAAGACACACCCAGGCACCGGCCTTGCACCCAAGAAAGGTGGGGAAGCTCTGCCAAGTTTCTGTGACTGAGCGCCTCAGCACCCAGCCAGGGAGTGTGACTCAGTCATGTGCAAGGTTGGTCTCCCACAGATGGTCCAAATGTCTACGAGTTACTTTGATTTGCAGAAGACTAACATCTCAGAGCACTTCTGTGCTCTCATCTTCCCAGCAATCTTGTGAAGGAAGGGTCACATCCTTTCACTGAGAAGAGAGGCACCCCAGGGTTGAGTGTTCTGTCTTTCTCTGTAAGAAGAAATTATAAATATTGAAATCTGCCATTCTTTCTTTAAATTACTTTGCAAAGTTTCAGAAAAGATAGAAAAGCAAAAGAGCCTACAGTTTGCTGGCAGTTTCATCAGAATGGTTTGAGGTAGTTTTTTTTTTGTTGTTTTTTAGTTTTTGTTTTGTTTTGTTTGGAAATTTGTCTCTTGTTAAATAAGGTTCATGAGATTTTTGTCCATTTGGAATGCTTTCATTGAAAATAATTTTTTTATTATTTTTATTTTTATCATGTGGTGTTGAGGGTCGAACCCAGTGCCTCACGCATGCTAAGCAAGTGCTCTACCACTGAGCCACAGTCCCGTCCCAGCCCCTATCATTGAAAATAATTAGGAGAAAATGTTTTTAGAAATTCCACTGAGGAAACAGATGGTTAACTGTGCATTGGATTTCTTTTCCTTGTAATTGAATTATGGATTGTCAAGCAGATGACCTCTTTCCCAGGCAAGAGGGCAGGAGTTTGGTGTGCAGGAGAGTAAGGGCAGGCAGGGCCAATTTGGACCTATCAGTTTTTCAGTAGTGAGTTGATCATGCAGGTCATTGGGCGTACAGATGGGTGTGTCACATAGGTTTATCTGTAGCTGAAAGGGTTATTCATTAATTGAAGAAGTAGATGAGTCTCACATATCTACCAGGTCCTAAGCTGTCTGCTAGGATACACTCTCCTTGCCCTCAGGAGGCTCATAATCTAATGGTGGTGAAGGGCCATCAAAACATGCATGAAGGGTAGGCTCTTTTGCTTTTCTATCTTTTCTGAAACTTTGCAAACTAATTTAAAGAAAGAATGGCAGATTTCAATATTTATAAGAACTGTTAGTTGGTATACTACCCACATTCTTCCAAAATGAAAATTTCTTCTTCTTACTCTCTAGTTCCGTAAATATGTGAAGACTGCACATCTCTAATCTGAAAATCAGAAATTAGAAATGCTCCAAAATCCAAAATGCTTTGAGCACTGACAGGAGTCTACAAATGGGAGATCCTATACCTGACCTCATGTGATGAGGTTCTCTACACTACCACACCCTGTGTTCAAACTTGGAGATAGATTGAGTACATTAAAAACCTGGAGAAATGAAATTTTGAGAGAAGGTTAAGAAGCAGTGGTTTGCAGGCCAAAGGTGTGGCACTTATTTACTAACACACATCTCGTGTATGGGGTGTGGAGTGGCAAGTAGGAGGCAGGGTGGCTTTGGGGCCTATCCTGCCTTTTCATTTAGCATTTGGGAGACCCACTGAACTTGGGGATACCCCTAGAATGGCACCTTGTCTGTAGCTGCTCTGCCAAACTTTGGTAAGGATTGCTGGAGGCAGTGCATATAAAATAGACAAGTCTTGGCACATAGTGAGCATGCTGTAAAAATTAGCTGGTGTTATTACTACAGGTTGAGCATCTCTTAACTGAAATGTGGGACCAGTTGCATTTCAGAGTTTGGAGGATTTCAGATTTCAGATTTTTAATTTTTTTAGGGATGCTCAACCTGAACATTATTATTTTGACACCCACGTGTCTGTCTGTCTGTCTGTCTCTCTCTCTCTCTCTCTCTCACACACACACACACACACACACAATATTGAGTATAAAACCTGGAAAATAAGGAAGCTCTGGAAGTTTTGCATCAAGTCTTGCTTAGTGTTTAGCAACATTTAGCAGGATTTTCTCAAATACAGAAAATAATAATAAAACAAAAGTCTTAATCACCTCCCCACCCAGATAATAAAAAAGTGTGTGCACCCAACTAGAATAGCAACCAGCCGCGTGGGCAGGAGCCTCCCACTCCTGCCCCTCTGTCCTTGGTGTCCTCCTAGAAGGTGTTTGGGACTCTCAGCAGGACACTGATACTGGCTAGCCCTTATGCCGCCACCCTTCTCGTGGGCAGAGCATGCACCTACATAGTGGCCATGATGCTGACAGGCACTTACTCTTAATTTGAGAGATTTTCCTCCACTTCTCCTCCATCCACGTCCCTTGCCACTGTGGCCTTGTTCCTAGGCTCACTGCCCCACTCTGCTGGCTTCAGACCTCCTCTGGAGAAGCCCACAGATTGATAGCAATGCTTAGAGAAGCTGAATTGTTGTGACAGAGTCAAATGTGAAGTCAGAGTTGAATATAAATGCTTTAAAATAATTTTTTCTTTTGAAAGTAAAATAAACAAGTAGTTTGAGATATTGCACTTAAGATGTTTTAGTCTTTGGGCTGGGAGTGTAGCTCAGTGGTAGAGCATTTGTTTAGAATATACAATGCCCTGTGTTTAATCCCTAGCACTGGGAAAAAAGAGAGATTTTAGTTTTCCTATGATTTATAAGTTGTGGCATCCCTCTACCTTGTGAATAACAGCAGCTGTTGTTGATGATGTCTTCCTCCTGGGAAACTCCATCTCCTCCGAACCCTACGGGAGCCCCGTCAGGCAAGGCACATAGTGACCCCTGCATCTTACAGGTGCGGAGGCTAAAGCTCAGAGAGTGGATGGCCATACAGCTGAGAGGTAGCAGAGCTGAGGTCTGAGTCCTAAACCAGAGTCTTCTAGTGTGGGACGTTTTCAATTGTTGAAACTTCAAAATATATTAATAATAAAAATACATTAGTAATTTATTTATTTAAAAATATTTATTTAGATGTTGATGGACCTTTATTTTATTCATTTATTTATATGTGGTGCTTAGGATTGAACCCAGTGCCTCACACATGCTAGGTAAGTGCTCTACCACTGAGCCACAGCCCCAGCCCCCAAAATAAATTGTGTCAGATTTATTAAGGACTGATTGCTTTACTGGACTGTGTATTTAATCACCAAAAAGTCTTCAAATCTGCATGATCTGCAAAGCAGTTCATTGACACTATCGTCATGTGTAAGTTGTTTGCTGAGATGAATTTTGTAGTATGGTTGCCTGTAGTTGTCATTAAAACAAGGGTGGTTTTACTTGGTGCTGGTCTGCTTTTGTAATCTTGCAATTTCAATTGCCTTGGAATCTGTGGTTATTTCTGATCAGCACGCAGGAATCAGTGCGGACTTGTGAATAATTGAGCCTTTTGTCGGTGTGGTGGCCCATGCCTGTAATCCTAGCAGCTTGGGAGGCTGAGGCAGAGGGATCGTGCGTTCAAAGCCAGCCTCAGCAACTTAGTGAGGCCCTAAGCAACTTACTGAGACCATGTCTCAAAATAAAATGTAAAAGGGATGGGGGAATGTAGCTTAGAGGTTAAGCACCCCAGAGTTCAATTCTTGGTACTAAAATAAGTAAATAAATAACGGTTCTTTGTTCTTTTTCTCCCTTGTAGAGACCTAAAGCCAGAGAACATCCTCCTGGATGACCATGGTAAGTGAGTGTCCTGGCTCCTGCATAAGTTTGTTACAGGAACTCAAAACAGAAGGTGAGCATGGACTTAGCAGCTAAACCACTGTGGAAATGGCAGCGGGAAGCAGCTCCTGGCAGACAGCCTTAAAATGAATGCAGTGTGGAGACTTGTCCTTCCCTGTATGTGTACAAGTGGAGACGGTCAGGTTTTCAGTTCCTGCAGAGTTTGGGAAGCATGTGAGAGTACTGTGAGAAGAACATTGGCCTTCTGTTTCTGCTGTGGGTCCACATCTTGCTGCATTTTCCAGATGCCTGTTCTCATGCCCCCTGTACCTTAGCCTGCTGCCCTTGGTGCTGTCCTCTTGTCACATAGCACATGTCCCCGAGCGGGGCATGGTAGCTGTGTGGGGGCCCTGTGCAAGTGGATGGGGAGTGGCCCTTTGGAACTGTCCCTTATCAGCATCCTGGGTGCCACTCAGACTCTGGTTCCCTGAGTGACGAGTGCCCCTAGAACCAAGAATGGTCCCTACCACTGGATGGCCAGTGGTACTCACTCAGCACTCCACATGCATCGCTGGATGGAACTTTTGTCCAATGACTTTTCTTGGCTCTGAAGAGGCTTAGAATCTAGTAGAGGACATAGACAAGGCTGGGGTGGCCGCTGTGGAGGAGAAAACAGGTGTCTCAGGCAGAGGGTTCCAAAGACAAACATGGGACCCTGTGACAGTGCTTTCTGCTTGTTGTCTAATTTATGCATGGAACACCCATCCGGTGAAAAAGGAGGGTACCAGGAATTTCGCCCCACAGGCCATGCCAAGACTTGAAGTAACTTGCCCACAGTTGTGTCCACAGCTTCTGGGTCTTGACACTTGTGCCACACTGCTGACCCAAGGTGACAATGAAGTGGCTATGAGGAGGGAGGGAGGACACGTTGGTGTGAGATGGGGTGCTCTCCAAGCTGTGCTGGCTATTGGGAAAGGAGGAAGATGCCGAGCTGTGAAATGGGCGGCCTTTATGTGAAAAGGAGGAGATACCAAGGAAGGGTGGCGTGGGGCGGGGAGGCGAGTGCAGGCCAGGCGGGAGCAGACTTAGGCCTATGCTGAGTCTTTTATGTAAATAGGAGATTTTCTTGTGTAGCCCCCTCCTCTCCAGAATTCCACCCCACAGACTTGAGCTGACCTATCTTTCCCAAATCTGATCTCTGTCTCCTTAACTTTGCAAGTCCTTCTGCTGAGCTTAGGTCTGTCCTTCCTGGCCACGACCTCCTGGGGTCAGCCAATGTTTTTTTTCTCTTGGGAATCATAGACTTCTGCTATCTGACCAGATTTTAATTGTTACCTTATTGAAAGGCAAATTTTTTAAAATATTTTTTTAGTCATCAATGGAATTTATTTTATTTATTTATATGTGGTGCTGAGAATCAAACCCAGTGCCTCACAGATGCTAGGCAAGCACTACCACTAAGCTACAACCCCAGCCCTGAAAGGCAGATTTTTAATCAATTGTTCATTCTTGGCCAGAAGCAGAAGTTTTGACATTCTTAATGTTAGTGTATTCTGCTGTGTTAATTATTTTTCCATTAAGTTTAGTGATTTTTGTGTTTTGCTTAAATCTTTGTCTATTCCTACACCATAAAGTTTTCTGCATTTTCTTCTAAGAACAGTATTGTCTTATCTTTCCCATTTACTTCATCTGGAATTGGTTTTGTGTCTGATGTGGAGTAGCACTTACAGCCCTTTATATATATATATGTGATCAGTTGGCCCAGCACCGTTCATTGAAAAGGTCATCTGTTCTCTCAGCAGCTGTGGGATCTACTTTGTCAGAAAGCACATGTCTTTGTGTGGGTGGCTCTTACTGTAGATCTGGAGTCTGTTCCGTTGCTTGATCTTTTTGTTTATCCCACAGTTCTGAGCCACTGAAGCTGTAGCAAGTCTTCATTTGGATTCTGTCAAGTCTTCCAGTGTTTTAGGCCTTCAAGATTGCCTTTGGGGCGGGGGAGCTGAGATTGTGGCTCAGCAGTAGAGCGTTCCCCTAGCATGGGCAAGGCCCCGGGTTTGATCCTTAGCACCACATAAAATTAATAAATAATATAAAGGTATTGTGTCCAACTGTAACATTTAAATTTTAAAAAAAAAGATTGCCTTCGCTAGTCTTGGACTTTCTCATTTTCATATAAATTCTGATAACTAATTTGGTAATTAAAGCCATATTGTGCTAAGAATTTGGTTAGGGTTGTTTTGAATCTGTAGAATCATCTCCACAGAATTGATCTCTTAACAATATTGAATCAATTTATCAATGTTGTATATAGATCTGTGTATTGGGGTCGGGTCTCCTTTAATTTTTCTCAATATTGCTTTATAGTTTTCATTTAAAGGGCTTATATATTTTGTTATTTGACAGTTTTTAATGGTATTGTTTTTAAAGTTTCATTTTTTACTTGCCTGTTGCTAATAGTTAGAAACACCGCTTCCCCCGTGATTTATATTTCCTGTTGTGTGGTGCATTTGTTAAATGATGAACTAATATTGGTACATTATAGTTTATACTGAAGTATATTGTTTACATTAGGACTCATTCTCTGTGTTGTACGTCCTATGGGCTTTGACAATGATAGGGGCTGGGACGGTACTGTGGCTCAGTGGTAGAGCACTTGCCTAGCATGCATGAGGCACTGGGTTCGACCCTCAACACCACATGATAAAAATAAAAATAATAAAAAATATATTTTCAATGAAAGCATTCCAAATGGACAAAAATCTCATGAACCTTATTTAACAAGAGACAAATTTCCAAACAAAACAAAACAAAAACTAAAAAACAAAAAAAAAAAAACCTACCTCAAACCATTCTGATGAAACTGCCAGCAAAGAGTTCAGATTTTTCTTCTTACAGAGAAAGACAGAACACTCAACCCTGGGGTGCCTCTCTTCTCAGTGAAAGGATGTGACCCTTCCTTCACAAGATTGCTGGGAAGATGAGAGCACAGAAGTGCTCTGAGATGTTAGTCTTCTGCAAATCAAAGTAACTCGTAGACATTTGGACCATCTGTGGGAGACCAACCTTGCACATGACTGAGTCACACTCCCTGGCTGGGTGCTGAGGAGTATTTTTGTAGAAATACTTTATCAGATTTAAGAAGTTTCCTTTTTAAAAATAACGAGTGGAAACAAATAATGAATGGTAGTTAAATGTTGTCAGTGCCCTTTCTGTCAAGATGATTATGATTTTTTTCTTATTATTGTAGTTAATTTCTAAATCTTGAACCAGCTTTCGTTACTGACATAAATTCACCTTGGGCATGCTGCCATCCTGTGCAAAGATTGCTGCATTCACCTCATGTATAAAGGAGGGGATCAGTTCTGCTTCTGAAGTGCCACTTGAACTCCAGAATCTGTTCTGCTGGCTCTTTCCCAGCAGTAGCCCTAGGCCTCATCTGAGTTTTCAACCTCTCACTGCTGCTAGTCTGGGTAGGTTGCAGCTGCAGGCTGCAGAGGTCTCAGTGAAGTCGTGCTCCTGCTTTGTACAGTGTGTGTAGGAACTGCCACCACATGCAACTCACCTCTGTATTCTCGCTCTGGAGGCCAAGTACATCCAGACCACACTACCACCATGGCTCACCAGTGCCTTCAAGGTATGACTCCTGTCATCTGGGGGGCTCTCCCAGTGTGGTCAGCATTAGTGCCAGCCTGCCCCAAGCAAGATCCCAGGGACATTTGTGCCCTTGTGTGACTCACAGAGCAAGCCATGGTTCAGAAAAATTTTCTTGTGATAGTTCCTGTTACCGGGCAAATCGTGTGAGAACCTCCCTTTGTGGCTTCCTTACCTCCAACTCTTTGTGTCAGAATTTGACACAGTGACTCCATTTTGATTCTCACAACTTCCATAAAGTCCCAACCTCCAGGAGTGCAGAATGTGACTGTGTTTAGAGACGGGACCTTTACAGAGGTAACCAAAGTAGGATGAGCTCATCAGGGGCTGAAAAGTATCTCAGTGGGAAAGCACTTGCCAGGCCCTGGGCTCCATCTCCAGTACCACAGTCAATAAAATGAGGCAGATAGGTTGGGCCCGCTTCCAATTACAGGTGTCCTTATAAGAATATTTTCCACAATGCGTTATTTTTATGGGAATTCAATAAATGTTTACCCGCTATGCCCAAGGCATTCACACATTGTATGGCTCTTTGAATGAAGTGCCCTAATTGAGATTGTTATTTCCCTGACTCTATTCCATTTGTTCTCTAGGAAAAAACCTCCATATCATTCATATATAGTTGTCCGTGTATATAAGCCTCCTGGTCTGGTACTCTGACAGAAAGTATTTGCTGTTTTATAGTTGATCTAATAGTCATTTTATATTCATATGTATACCTGGTAAGTTATAACAGATATAATAATATAGTGTTTATATCTTATATGGTGATTGTCTATGATTAAAGAACTTCCCAAACATAAATCTAATTTCTAGTTGTTAGTGAAACTGAATGCACTGTGTAGAATTTTATTAAATGAGAAAAGGTTAAATGTAATTTTTTAAAATGTTTTTATTTTAATGTGTTTTTTTTAAGTTGTCAATAGACCTTTATTTTATTTATTTATTTATTTATTTATATGTGGTGCTGAGAATTGAACCCAGGATCTCACATGTGCCAGCAAGCTCTCTAACATTGAGCCACAACTCCAGCGGTTAAATGTAATTTTATATTTAAAGATTTCAGAGTTTGAGGTGCTAGTTTTTTCATCCATGGCTTTTAAGACAATTTTTTTCTCCAGTTGTTTCTATTACTAAAATGGTGTTGGGGGGCTGGGGTTGTGGCTCAGTGGTAGAGTGCTCGCCTAGCACACGTGAGGCACTGGGTTCAAACCTCGGCACCACATAAAAATAAAATAAAGATATTATGTCTACCTACAACTAAAAAATAAAAAGGTGTTGGGGCAGGGTTGCAGTTCAGTATGGAGCACTTGTCTAGCATGTGTGAGGCCCTGGATTCAATCCCTGGCACCCTGTGTCCATCTATAACTAAAAAAATATTTTTAAAAAAATGGCATTGCTTCTCCCTATGATCTGTCTGTCGTGTTTGAACACACACAGGACACATCCGGATTTCAGATCTTGGTTTAGCCTTGCAGATCCCAGAAGGGGAGATGGTTCGAGGAAGAGCTGGAACTGTTGGCTACATGGGTATGTAAAAGACCACCTCAGTGGTCTTCGGCCTTTCCCTCTAGATGCCAGAATGCCTCTGAACAGAGCAGTTGCCACACAAGGGGCCTGGTGCTCCTCCTGACACGGTAGATGGTTTCAGGTTGTTGAACTACTGAGGAGGCCCCTCGACTATACCCCTCTTTTTACAGACAAGGAATGAGGCCTTGGAGGTCTCTGGAGTCCTGAGGTTATACCACTGCATGAGGGAGAGTCAGGACAAAGCTGTCGGTCCCCTCACTTTGCCAGTATCCTTGTGCATGTGGACCTTGCAGACCTCCTGGGAAATCATCTTAATCTGCTTCTTCCAGGGAATCTGTGGGCAGAGCCAGCCCAACCCTGGTGGCCTCTGAGGGAACTTCAAGCCTCTAAGAGCCCTGCAGAAGATCCCATGTCACCATTCCTGCCCTTACTGGCTTAAGGGATTTACACTCACTGGCAAACAGTGACAGTGCACTAGGGACACCGATGGGTGGCTCTGAATGGAGGGCATCCCCTCAGGAAGCACCTTGGCCTCATGGTGTTCTCCTGCCGACTTGAGCTCATCCAGTGTGTACAGACATCACATACCACAGAACCCAACAGTTCCAAGCATGCGATTTTGTGGATTTTAGTGTATTCACAGTTGTGCAGCCACCACCAGTTTCAAAACATGTTTTATCACCTTAAAAAAGAAACCTGTGCTCATTAACAGCCACTCTTTAACCCTCCCCTTCTAGCCCTGGGCCCGGCCACAGGAGTTCTTTCTGAATTCTCGCTCATTCTGGTTGTCTCCATGCATTGTTCTATTCCATCTGTTTCATATAAGCAGAATGATGTGTTATTTGACCCCTGTGTCTAGTTTCTTTCACTTACTATAATGCTTTTAAGTTTCCTCCATGTTGGAATTATATATTAAATATATAATTATTTAGAATTAATGATAGAAAGATTTTAAACTAAAATTTAATTGAATTTTCTGTATTGTTATTTAGCTCCGGAAGTTATCAATAACGAAAAGTACACATTTAGTCCTGATTGGTGGGGACTTGGCTGTCTGATATATGAAATGATTCAGGGACATTCTCCATTCAGAAAATTCAAAGAGAAAGTCAAACGGGAAGAGGTTGACCGAAGAGTGAAGAGGGATCCTGAACAGTACTCCGCCAAGTTTTCCGAGGACACCAAATCCATTTGCAGGATGGTGGGTCAGGCTCTGCTGGGAAATCAAACTTCTAACTCACTCTGGTAGTTCTTGTGGAGCAGGCAGGCTCTTCCCAGCTCTGTGCAGCCCCTGGCCCAGCACGAGAACCCTGTGGGGGAGGCTTAGACTGCTGCTGGCAGAGCAGGTGTGAGCAGTGGTCAGATCCTGGGTGGATCCTGAAGGCAGAGCCTAGGGTTTTGCCCATGTGGAGGGGAGGGGTCTAGGCTAACTCCAAACTGATGGCCTGAGAAGAAACAGCTAGGGAGGGGAAGACTCCAGAGCCAAGATCTTGCAGTGGGGAGGAGAAGAGGTGACGGAGGAGAGTGTGGGTGGGCCCCTCCAGAGTCTGCACCTAGTGAAGCTGGAAGAGTAGATGTGGGCAGGGGCTTCTGTATATAGGGCCTCAATATCAGTGGAACAAGGTAGGTGTTGGGGGTATAAGGACAGAGGAGACAGTTGAAGGACTAGGGAGTGGAAGAGGGTTCCCCAGAGGGGTCCAGTGGATTTGCAGTGTCCCTGCCCCACCCAGTGGATGGTACAGGCTCAGGCAGAACAGCAGTCATGCTGCCCAACTCTGCAGTGTGGTGGAGCAGGAGAGAGGCAAGGGGACTGGACTGTGTGCAGAGGACTGGCTTGGTGGTGGGTCGTGGACTCTAAGCACTGAGAAAAGGGGGTGCAAGGTGTAGTGGCTGGAGAATAATTATTTTGATTTCCTTTCATTGTGTTTCCACATATGAAACTATGGGTGCTGCAGGCTTGTCACTGAGCTGTGGGATCAGCCTGGTTTTTTTCCCAGCCAGCTCACTCTGTTTGGAGGTGACGACTTGTCACAGCATTCCGATCAAGCTACTATTTATATTCAGTTTGCTATATATATATATTTGGTACTAGATATTGAACCCAGGGAGCACTTAATCACTGAGCCACATCCCCAGCCCTTTTTTATATTTTATTTTGAGGCAGGGTGCTTAGGGTCTCACTAAGGTGCTTAGTGTCTCACCAAGTTACTGAGGCTGACGTTGAACTCGCGATCCTCCTGCCCTAGCCTCCTGAGCCACTGGGATTACAGAAGTGTGCCACTGCACCTGGCCAGTTTGATAAATATTGACTGAGTGGTTTGCTGTACACTCAACAGCTGCAGGAATGTTAGAAATAGAGCCTGTCCCTAAGGAGCCCACAGTTTAGTAGTAGGCCTAAAACCCATCAAAATGACAGATAGAAAAAGCAGTGGGTGCCATAAACAAAGATAGAGACAAGAGTATAAGGATTTGGGGGATGAAATCCCACTGTGCTGGCGCACTGGGCAAGAAGGTGATATCTACGCCTGGGGCAGTGTTGTGAATAGCTAGCTCTGGAGTTTGGTGGTGAGTCCATCTTTCCGCCATGAGCTCACCTCTCCGAGTCCCAGTCTCTATCTATAAAATATGGGTGGGAGAACTTCTACCTTACAGGATTATTGGGAGGATAAAATGAAATAATGCACATAACATGTTCAGTATCATTTAACCTTCATTATCTGCTAAGAGAAGAAACCCAACTTAAGCTGGGTGCTGTGGAGCATACTTGTAATCCCATATACTCAGGAAGCTGAGGCAGGAGGATCACAAGTTAGAAGTCATCCTGGGCAACTTAATGAGGCCGTAAGCAACTTAGTGAGATCCTGTCTCAAAATAAAAAGGGCTAGGGATGTGGCTCAATGGCAGAGCACTCTGGGTTCAATCCCCAGTACTGGGTTGTGAAAAAAGAAGAAAGAATGAGTTAAATTTCAATGAATAGATTGGATGAAGGCATCTCAGAGAACACCAGTAACTTGCACAAGAGTCACACAGTCCCAGCAGAGAGCAGGGAGTGCAAAGCACCTGCAGGGATAGGACCTGGGCCCAGGCCCAGCTCAGGTGTGCAGAGCAAAGGAGGCCTTACCCTGTGTGCCTTCCCATTTGCTGTTACCTGGGCCTGGGTACCACCCGCAGGCACTGCTCCCTGTGCATCTGCTGAGGGACTGAGCCAAGCGAGGGTTAGGTCAGGGTGTTCGCTGGTGTGCAAGAGAGAGATGACAGGAAAGGAAAGAGAATAGGTACAATTGTTGGCTTTTAACCGTAATCCCGATGGGAGTTCACACTAACCTTACATTAGATAGCTTTTATAATTTTTAAATATCTTGTTTAATTCTCACAATGGATCACAAGTTACTGTAATAGCCTCACAGTTGAAAAAGAGTTTTATTTCTGTGACTCACACAGTGGCAGCAGGAGCAGTAGTGCCGGACTTTGTCCTCTGCCCTCTGCCGCCTGGTCGGCCATGTCTTAGTACACTTGGACTACCATGACAAAATCCCTAAGCGTGGGTAATGTATAATAACAGAAACTTACTCTCACGGTTCTGGAGTCCGGGAAGTCGACGATCAAAGTGCTGCCAGGCAGGTTAGGTGTCTGATGAGGGCTCAAGTTCTGGTTCATCACTGGTGTGTTCTGATTGCTCACAGGGTGGAAGGGGCAGACAAGCTCCTTGGAACCTCTCTAACAAGGACACACTGATCCCATTCACAATTGATATAATTACCTCCTAAAGATCCCACCTGTTAACACTTCACAAAGAAGATCAAGTTTCAACATATGAGTTTTAAGGGGACAAAGATATTCAGGCCATCCATGGTGTTCAACTGGTATGTGTCCGTAGCAGGCTTGATAATGGAGTCATAAAATCTCTGAGATGTAGGAATTGTATTTAGCATTACACTTAATTTTCAGGTCTGTGTCAGATTAATAAAGCATGCAAAGAGTAAATGCACTGAGCAATTTTTATTGAGCACCTGCTTTAAGATACTGGGGACACAGCAGTAGGCAAGAGAGTCACACAGTCCCAGCTTCAGGAAGCGTCGTACCGTAGACTGGCAGTAAACAATTAGCCAAAGGATTAATTCACAACTGTGGTAAAGGAAAAATAGAGGATGTTTGAGGCTGTCCTGCTAGAGGAGGGGAGCCTGATCCAGTGTGGGCCGGGGAGCAGGGAGCGGGATGAAGCTGGGGCCTGTGGAGTTCATGACTCTGCAGGGTGGTTTTCTAGACACAGGCCTGGGCACACAAGTCTGAGGAAGGAAAACAAAGAATATCTAGAATTCATCTGTTCGTCCCATGCTCCCCCTCCCCACCCCATTATGAGTCAGCCTCCTTAGATCAGAGAAAACGTTCAGCATTTGTTTTTGGGGGGATTGGATTCTAGATAGGGAAGAGGGGTGGGAGGGAAAGGGACGGGGCAGGGGATTAGCAAGGATGGTGGAATGTGAGGGACATCATTATCCAAAGTACATGTATGAAGACACGATTTGTGTGTCAACCTACTTTATATACAGACAGAGATATGAAAAATTGTGGTATATATGCATAATAAGAATTGTAATGCAAAAAAAAGTACATGTGTAAATAAAGACAGGAATTGGCATGAACATACTTTACATACAAAGATATAAAAAATTGTGCTCTATATGAGTAATAAGAATTGTAATCCATTCCACTGTCGTGTGTTCAAAAAAAAAAAAAATCAATATAAATAAATAAATAAATAGAAACAAAGAATATGCGGCTGAAGGTCTAGGGTGGGAGCTGGAGCCTTTCAGATGAGCTGGGTCTGGAGACTTGGATTTCTGTTCAGAAGAGCTGTGAGTGCTGGGCATCAGCTTTTGGAGTCTGTGTGGGACCCTAAGTAGATGCCCCCTGGCTCTGCAGGTCTCCGTCACCTTGGGTTCAGTGTTGCCACTGCAGTGCTCAGCATCTGTAAGCCCGAGTAAGCATGGCTTGGCCATGTGGTAGTAAAGCCTTAATTCACAGAAACAGCTGGTGGGATGCGGCCCTGGGCTGCAGCTCCCCAACCCTTGGTCTAGGCTGTACTAACATTCCAGATTTTTAATATGTTGCTAGAATGGCCTGATCTTTTCTTTCCTTTTTTTTTTTTTTTTGTACTGGGAATTGAACCTAGAGGCACTTCACTGAGCCACATCCTCAGTCCTTTTTATTTTTTGAGGCAGAATCTCACTGAACTGCTTAGGGCTCACTGAATCGCTGAGGCTGGCCTCAAACTTGCAATCCTCTTGCCTTAGCTTCTTGAGTTGCTGGGATTATGAGCATGTGCCACAGTGTCTGGCTCTTTCTTTTTCTCTTCATTTTCTTTTTTAATATTTTTAGTCGTAGATGGACACAGTACCTTTATTTTTATTTTTATGTGGTGCTGAGGAATGAACCCAGTTCTCACAGTGGAAGGCAGGTGGTGTACCACTGAGCTACAACCCCAGCCCTTTGCTTATTGATTCTAATATAAGAGACAGGGTTCTTGCCATGTTACCCAGGCTGGTCTCGTGCCGCAGTCTGGCTGGGCACACAATCACGAGCCACCACACAGCTTGTAGATTCAAACAGCAACTCTTTATTCCCGAACTCACACCAGCCGTCTACAGTGACGTTCTGGGGAAATCCACGTTCTCTGCCCAAATCCACCCCCACTGGGCTTCTGTCTCCCAAAAAATACTGTCTGAATACTGTGAGAACTCAAGGGGAACTCAGGCAGCAGGATACGCCCTATTCCCAGCAGGAATAACCTTAAACCTGGAACCACCCTAAACCCCCGATAGTCCTAAACCGGGAACGTCCTAAACCCGGATCCGCCCTGGTCCCTTGAGCAAGGTCACCTTAGATGCACTGTCACTGCAAAATGTCCTATTTCCACGAGTCCTTCCACTAAGCAACATGGGGTACGCTGGCAAGGAAATTGTCATACCTACTTGGCTAATGGCTCCCAGCAGTCTCGAACCCCAGGGCTCAAGCCATCCTCCTGCTCCAGCCTTCTACGTACCTGGGATTATAGGGACTACCACCCCCAGCAGCCTATCCTTTCTAGATTTGATAGTAATTGTGGATTATTTGAATTTGTGACAGTGGCAAACACATATGAATTTATACATTTATTGAAAGAGACACTTTTATTAATTTTAAGAATATACAGTTTCTAGAACCAGATTTGCTGAATTTTTGCCTTAACCTTAGTTAGCTGATTGATTTAATGAATAGATTTAAAGTGGTTTCTAATTATAAATATAATTTAGTATTAAAATAATGTCTCTGAAGTTCTCAACTGTTTTATTTCCTTTCAAAAAAATCCCCTATGACATAAATATTTTAACTTACGGGTTAATGTAGCCAAACCCTCATTTACTGGTAGCTCAAAGGCAAAATTTTAGTTTTGCCTTTTGGGAAGCATCCTGTGGTCAGAATTCATGTGGTTTGGTGGACAATGTTACTTTGAAGTTGAAGTGACTGTGTTTACACATATGTGCTTTCTGCTGCCCCTGGCTCCTTGGTTATTATGGAGTCTTGTCTTGAGTTTCTGTTTTTATCCTAGGAGCTTAAGTTGACCCATTTTTGCCTCTTGTGCAGCTACTCACCAAGAATCCAAGTGAGCGGCTGGGCTGCAGGGGCGAGGGGGCTGCAGGAGTGAAGCAGCACCCGGTGTTCAAGAACATCAGCTTCAGCCGACTGGAGGCAAACATGTTGGACCCGCCTTTCTGCCCCGATGTAAGTACGCTGCCCTCAGGAGCTGGTGTCTGAGAACACTGATCCCAAACAGATACAGTATCTGATGCAGTCATGCTGTGGCTTCAGCTCTGTGGGGCAGGTCATGTCTGCTGCAACCTCCTTCCTCACTCCCAGCCCCCTCAGCCACTCATAGACCTTCCTGGCAACTCTCTAACTCCAGGGCCTGGGGTCTGCTGTCACTGCTGCTGCAGCCAAGCCCTGCCCTCAGACACCTCACCACCACCTCAGACCTCCCTGGCCTGCCCTTCCAGGCCCTCCCTGTTACACAGGTCCCTGTTCTGCTCTGGGTCGGTTTTACCTCTTGTCCTGTGCTCACTTTCTCAAAGCAGTGCCTTCCTGCTACTTCAGTCTGGAATATAAGTCCCCGCTCCAGTTTTTATAAGGTCCTGGGATGATAGCCGGGCCCCACCCTGAGGACCCTGGAGCTGTCACCGTGCCTCCTTTTGGGCATGCTGTTGGGATCAAATGATATCATGTCTCCAAAGTGCTTAGCACAGGGCAGGGCACTGGCCTGTGGGAATCCAGCACAGCATAAGTGTAAGCACATGAGTGCACAAATGACGGAGGCGGGGAGCAGATTTCAGATCAGCAGACTTCTCTTTATTCAGTTGTGGGGTCAGTTGTTCAAATACCTGATATGGCTCACTTTCAGGGATAAAATAGCTTCTGGCCACAAGGTTCTGGACTTTATACACAGCCTTAGCAGAGCCAGGCCATGGGAGGAGTTAGTTACTTTTGGCAGGCAGTGGGCAGGGCCAGGTCATGGGAAGGGTCTGGTGGCAAGACCATTTAGGGCAGGACAGGAAGACAGGTAGGTAACCATATTCTTTATTAAATAAACTCAGAGCAAAAGCAGCTTCAACTCTATCCTGAACAGCCTGCTACAGACCCTGTAGAAACATGAAGACGAGGAAGTGTTGTAGGGTTGGTGGAGTAGAGATAGGTGTATGATTAAAATATTTTTAGTAGTAGTAGGACTTGCTCAGGACTTGCTTTGTGTCTTTATCTTCACATTACATGTTACAGCTTCCTTGGAATTGATTCCCGTGTGACATATTTAACAAATGCCCACTACCTGCCAGTCAGCGCTATAGGTATCAAGGCACAGGGAGAACAAGACAGGAAAGGTCTCTGCAGAGATAAGCAGTAGGTCAGGCTGACCAGCACATTTGGAACAGCATCATCTGACAAGAGTCCGTGACAAGGACCTCAGATGGGCCATCTGGTCTGGAGAGGTGGACTGCTTAGGGTCAGGAACAGGGAAGGCAGGCTGCCAGCAGTCTCTGAGGAGGGACCATTTCCATAGTTCTGAGAAGGGTTGGGGAACATGTAGGTCAGGGGCCTGGGGTAGTCCTAGACTGCCTGTGTCCTCACCTTAAGCAAACGAGACCACAGAGACAGCTCACATTATAGAGCCATTATAGACATGCGCCAGTACACCCCAGCCTGGTGGCATTTAAATCTGGGTTTTGCATGCCTTCGTTCTTTGTGATTAAGGGAGCTAAGGATTACTCCACTCATCTCACGAGCTGATGCCTTTCTCTGTTCTTGGGGCACAGCCTCATGCCATTTATTGTAAGGATGTCGTGGATATTGGGCGGTTCTCTGCAGTGAAAGGAGTCTACCTGGACACCACAGATGACAGCTTCTACGCTCAATTTGTTACTGGGTGTGTCTCCATCCCCTGGCAGACTGAGGTACTACCCTTTCCAGCAGAGCAGGTTTATGCTACTTCCAATAGTGACAGAAGTGTGTGTGGGTGTGGGTGCTCGCATGCTCACATTTATTTATATTTGGAAGGTGAATTTATGCCAGGCATTTAATTCTGTGACTAGACCATGGACAAGCCAAGACCATATTGGCAGTTACCCAGAACTAAGTCACAGTAAAGAAGTGTATAGGAGGCAGCCAACACAGTGGCTTGCCTGCCGTCCTGGAGTCCTGCTCCCTAAGCAGGGTGCTGACAGCCGTGGTATTAACTCCTCTGGTGGCACACTCAGAGAGGAAGAGAAGAGGCCACAACACTTGTTCCAAGAAGTGATCAGGAAACAGGGAAGAGGAGTCTGGGAAAGGGAACCAGAATGGGCTGAGGAGCTCTGAGGTGCCCCACATCAAGCATGGGTATGGGTAGGGGCAGATGGCTCTGGGGGACCCCTGGCCTTACGTGTTTCTGCAGCTTCTCTGTGCTCTCTTCTGTGTGTGCAGATCATCGAATCTGGATGCTTTAGGGATATCAACGAAAGTGAAAATGAGGGAAGTTTGTCATTGGATCTGAAAGCAAAGGAATGTCCTCCAGCTCTCAGACGAAAAAGAAATTTCTTCTATAGAGTCTTCAGTGGAGGGGTAAAAACTTTAAAAGAAATATGATGTGTCATTGAGCACAGTGATGCATATCTGTAGTCCTAGCAAATTGGGAGGCTGAGGCAATGAGACACAAGTTCAAGGTCAGCCTCAGCAAATTAGTGAGGCTCTATCTCAAGACAAAAAATAAAAAGTACTGGGGATGGAGTGCAGTGGCAGAGCACTCCTGATTCAATCCCAATACCCACATACATGTACATATGTATGTGAGTGTGTGTGTATATGTGTATATGTATATACACATATAATGTGTCAAAAGAGAAACTGTTTACCAAGGTAAAAACAGTACTTTCTTTTTGCAATGTCTTCTATTAGAAATTTCATATAGTTTGCCAGGCACGGTGGTGCTGCCTGTAATCCCAGTGGCTTGGGGGGCTGAGGCAGGAGGATTGCAACTTCAGAGCCAGCCTCAGCAAAAGTGAGGCAGTAAGCAACTCAGTGAGGCTGTGCCCCAAATACAAAACAGGGCTGAGGATGTGGCTAAGTGGTTGAGTGCCCCTGAGTTCAATCCCTAGTGCCCCCCGCCCCCCAAAAAAAGAAAAGAAATTTCATATAGTTTAAAAAACATGGCGTTACTTACAGTTGGGCCAAAATAACTCCTCACAATGATATTTGCTGATGAGGAGACTGTTCTGATTCAGAAAGCCTCAGTGGCTTACCAGCATTTCTCACAGTAGCTCCTTGCCAGTGATGAGGCATTTTGACCTAAGCTCAGAGACTAGCATCCTGTGGAACCCCCCTGAGCAGGGCCTGCTGCTGACCTCCTGCATGCTGTGCTTGCTCCTCAGCTATCTTGGTGCCTGCTTGCACACAGGAAGCAGGTTCCCTCCTGAAAAGGGATTCATTTGAAGAGATTTTCTGTAGTAGTATTAAATTTAGAAAAAAAAATCGCCAAGAAAAATTTTCTCCTTGGATGAGTGCATTATTTGTGCTCGTACCTGACCATTCTCAAGGAGTTTGAATGCGAGCATTCTAATTTGTCTTTTTCAGTATAGAAAACAAGACTTAGGTGGAAAAACCTCCCTAAGTAGCAATTGCCCTGACCACATGTCCTGAGGGAACTAGGGCAGTCATGAACTGACCAACCTGTGCTGCCCACCTCTGCTCTGAGTGTGCTTGGAAATGCTCTCTTGGGGCCTGTTACGGTGTCCATGTCATGGAGAACCTGCAGATGAGAGAATGTACTCATGCAGCATTACCCAACTCCTCACCATGCTGCTGCTTGGTGAAGGAGCCAGTAAACCTCACTCCCTTTATGCTCTCAACCATGGGCTGTGTGAATTTGACTAAGAATGACTAAGGAGCGGAACTTATCTGAAGCATTTTCTATGTATGCAAATTAAGCATCTTCCGTTTTTTGAAGTAAATAAGGAGAAAATATTTAAGATTTTTGCTTGCCTTACAATTAGCATCTCCCGGAAGTTTTTCAACTGTTGTATACAGTTGTCCCTCAGGTTCTTTGGGGGATTCATTCCAAGACCACCCCTGCTAGGATACCAAAATCTGAGGATGTTCAAATCCCTTATATAAGATGGATAATATTTGCAAATAAGCTACACATCCTCCTGTATTCATTCACATCTCTAGATTTCTTATAACACCTAATACAATGTAAATGCTGCAGGAATAGTTGCTATATTTTGTTTTAAAATTTCCATTATTTTTTTTGCTATTGTTGAATTGTTGTTTTTTATTGTTTTCTAAAAAATATCTTTGACTCGGAGTGGTTGGATCCATGCATGGAGAAACCGTGGATCCTGAGGTCTGAATGTGCACGTAAGGGGAGTTGAGCCAGTTTGCCTCGGAAACATGCCTGAGGCTGGCCATTGCGCTGTGTGTTGCAGGGCTGCCTGGGCACCAGCCCCAGTGAGAAGGAAGGGGAATCAACACTTTGACCACTCACCATGCAGACTGCAGAGCCAGACCTGGTGCCATGAAGGAGCACGTGCTCAGTGTCCCATCCCCTCCATAAATTGTAATAAACACAATCTATGATGAAGCTTAAAGTGTGCCTTTACAGATTTTTCTGCACTAATATCTTTATTGTCTTTTCATTGTAGCTAGATTGAAGAAAAAAATAGAGCACCTCCAAGGTACCCAGAAACTCTCTGGTGCTTTGGTCAAGCTCCACAGGTGCCACAGAGAAGGGAGGAGGGCTTCGAGTCTATGACAGTCCACCCTGTCAGCAGTGCCCTGCTCCTAATCCCAGGATACCAAAGTACCAAAGTACTCCACAACGGACGCTGTGGTTCAAGAAGAGAGGGAAGCAGGGGAGGCTGTGGGTGTTACAGAGCCCTGGCTCAATACATCCCCTTTGTCTCTCCATGGCCTTGTGTCCACCTTCCTGATGTCCATGTCTCTGTGGCTGAGCATGTCTGCTGCCCTCTGAAGAAGGGTGGTTTTCCATGGTCAGGGCTTAGCAGGCAGAGGCTCCTGGAGTAGCATGCGAGAGTGATTTTTTTGTTGTTGTTGTTACCAGGGACTGAACCCAGGGATGCTTAACCACTAAGCCATATCCCCAGCCCTTTTTAAAATATTTTTTTGTTTAGAGACAGGGTCTCACTGAGTTGCTTAGGGCCTCGCTAAGTTGCTGAGGTTGACTTTGGACTTGAGATCCTACTGCCTCAGCCTCCTGAGCCACTGGGATTACAGTTGTGTGCCACTGCACCAGGCATGAGGGTGATTTACCACAGAGTGCTGTGGCTTGCTGGGACTGTGCTTCTGGCCTGTGTTGGCCTTGAGTTGTTGGAGTTCATGTCAGACTCCAGAGGCTAAGGGCACTGCTATGGTTTGAATAAGTGTACCCCAGGGCCCGTGCTGAGGGCTCAGTGGTCACCAGGGTGCACCTTGGGAGGTGGTGGGACATTTGGGAGGTGGGGCCTAGTGAGAGGTGTGCCCTTGAAGAAGATTGTGGGAGCCCAGTCTCTTTCCTCTTTCTTTTTTGCTTCCTGGTTTGTGATGTAAATGGTTTTACTTTGCCACTTGCTGCCTCACCACAGGCCCAGAGCCATGAGCCCAACCAGTCATGATCCAACCGGACTGAAACCTTCAATACTGAACCAAAACCAGTCTTTTCTCTACATTAGTTGATGATCTCAGGCATTCCGTTACAGTGCTGGAAAGCTAACCAGGCAGGTCTGTGAGAGGCCTATGCTTGTGTCCTGGATGAGTGTGCCAACATTCCAGGTATTTTTGGTTGGCACTCAGTTTAGGAACTTCCCACAGAGATTAAGGGATGCCAGAATTTAAAAATTGATAACTCACATTTATAATTTATGGTGGATCTTTTTTCAGTGATGCTGGACACTGGGAACTTTGGTGGGATGAAAATAGAATTAAAATCAAGTCATGGGAGTGCATATACATAGGCAAATTCTTTATTTGGTTCTCCCCTGCGGAAGGGAGGCCTGGCTCCTGCAAGAAAATGTCAGGCGGCTCTCTAGAGCAATAAAAAAAGACAGTTTTATTGTCTGTGGTGAAGTGGGGTTCAGGAATGTCGTCCTGAAACGCTAAGTGAAAGTTGCCCTGGTGAGCACAGGGACCACACCTATGATCCCAGTGACAGGCTGAGACAGGAGGGTCACAAGTTTGAAGCCAGCTTAGCAACTCCGTGAAGTCCAAAGCCACTAAGACTTGGTCTCAAAAATAAAAAGCTGGAGCTATAGTTCAGTGTAAAGCATTCCTGGGTTCAGTCCCCCACAAAATTCAGTTCCCCGGCTCCACTGATGCGTCTGGCCCTGTCCAAGGATGCATAAGTGAGGCACGTTGAGAACTAGGGTGGGACCTTCTCGTGGTTGTCAGACCATAAGCCAAGGTCCAGGAGCTGTTTGCCCATGGAGGGGCAGCAGCAGGACATGTGTGGAGGGCACACATACCAAGGAGGGCAGCATTGCATTTTTCAAGAGGAGGGCACGTCTGAGTTGAGCAGGAAACCAGAGGGAGGGAGAGACATCACTTAACCAGAGAGGGCTTTCAAGATGGTCCAGAATTCTCTGTGGAATTTGGACTTTCTTTTCCACCCAGTCCAGCAGGGACTTCTGCAAATCAGGAGCATTCGACAAGGTCGAGGCTGGAGAGGGCCCAACGGGAGCCTCCATCTTCTCTGCCTGTAGCTGAGAACTTCTGCTGTGTGAGAAGTCAAGGGACAGATCTCTGTGACTTTGAAGCAGAGTGGTGACACCATCAGATAGTTGTGTGAGGAAGGAATCCCGCGTGCTCAGGGCTAGAGCAGAGGCCATTCAGGTTGCCTTCCTGGGAGCGGCACAGGCAGCTGCATCGGAAGCAGATAGCCCACCTGCTCGGCCACTGCCAAGTTGCCTGCACCCCCAGTGCTTTCTGCAGTCTAGTTTGTATCTGGGTGTTTATGAAAGTTGCTTTTCCACACGTCCTCAGCAGCCTCAAGCACAGTGGCATTTAGGCCAGTGTTTTGTCTCTGTGAGGCTGGGAACCTTCTTTGTATTGGGATGAGGGGACAGGGAAGTTAATTTGGGGATCTGAGGCCTTCAGTAATAGGATGGAAATGACTTTGTTTATCTTCTGATTGAGGCAAAATAGCATAAGAGAGCTGGGTGCCATGGTGCGTGCCTGTAATTCCAGCTACTTGGGAGGCTGAAGCAGGAGGATTGCAAGTTTGAGACCTGTTTAATGAAATCCTGTCTCAAAAACTTTTTTAAAAAATATTTTTCATTGTTGATGGACACAAGACCTTTATTTCATTTACTGATTTTATGTGATGCCAAGAATTAAATCCAGTGCCTCACACGTGATATGCTTCAAGCACTCTACCACTGAGCTACAACCCCAGCCTTCAGAACTTTTTTAAGGTACTGGTCATGTAGCTGACAGGTAGAGCGCTCTTGGGTCAGTCTCTAGTACACACACACACACACATATACACAGCATTAAGATTGAGGTTTTCTGCAGGCTGGTTACAACCGCTGCCTCTGGCCCCCTCTCTTGTCCACCTTGCTGTCCTCATCTGTAGGATGAAGATGGGAGTTCCTGCCTCAGGGGACACTGTGAGGAAAGCTGTGTCTGAAACATTTAGCGGGGTGTTTGGTACATGGCAACTGCTCAGTAAATATTGTTAATAATCACAGAAAGTAACACGTGCTTATAAAAAATATAGGAAAGTATAAGAAAAACAGATCACCTTTGTGCTACCACCTGTTTACAGTCCAAGTCCATCTGTCTAGGTGGTCCTCTGTTGGTGCAGGTGCACAGTGGTGAACTTACTTCCTGTATGCACAGAAGCAAGTAGTCTTGGAACAGGAAAACAAGGAGCCTAATATGCTCTCTCGTGGGCGCCACATCTGCCGCGCGAATAGCACGCTAGCTTCATACTAGAGGTTCCAAACATAGAAGTTAACTAGTGAAATCAAATTAAAGACACATAAAACTCAATTTACCTTTTTCTTGCCCAGTTAAGAGACGGCTTCTCCCGGCTCCTACCTCTAGCCACCTGATGTGGTAGTGAGGTTTACACAAGAGACCAGCAGGAGAGAGGAAGAAGCACGCCAGAGAGTGGGCTTTTATTGGGGAACAAAAAACTTGGGAAAATTCTATCCAGTGAAGGTCGAGGGGGACAGCATTCCAATCAGTGATTGGTTTCCAGGTCAATGGTCAGTCACACCCCCACACGGACAAGCCCTCGCACCCGGAAAGGGTGGGGAAGGCTCTGACACAGCTGGTCTGAGCGCCTCACACCCAGTCGGGCAGGTAGCTTAATCATGTGCGAGAACGGCTTCCCACACTAAGATAGGAAAAAACATTGTTTTCTTTCCATATTCATGCTACTCTCAAGACATTTTGACACCAAATGTGTGGGGTTTTCCCCACAGGAACGATTCTCCAGCACAAACTGGGTGACCTACAATTCAATTCAGTTCTGACACAGTCGGATTAAGGTACTTTAGGAACACTAGGTATCACTCTGGTTTGAACATGAGACATAATAGGACCCCTTTAGATCCAGGATTGCTCTGAGGGCTCCATGCCAGCCTCCCTAGGCCCTCTCCCACAGCAGGAGGAGGATGTGGGAAGATAGACCCACCTGCACCTGTTTTCCCCAGAACCCCCTCTGAAGCCAGCCCTGAGCTCCTTCCAGGTGTCTCATCTAGATCTCAGCTTCCAAGGGCCAAGCATATCCAAAGGCTGGCCAACAGGTGGTGTTTGTGGGAAGAAAGGACACGGTTCCGAGAGGTAGGCTGCTGGGGTGTCTACTTGGGGATGTGTGAGGTTCTTTTGCAATGGAAGAGCTGCAGGTGGGAAGAGAAGGGAGGCAAGCGGTGAGTGGGTCTAGAACTCTTCCCATGTCACCATCTCTTGGTGTTGATCTCTGAGTGTCCAAGAATTTCCTGTCAATCTGACCTTCCAGATCATTATGAAAATGTTACATCAAGATAGAAGCAAGGAGTCTTACCCCAAAAAACCTAAATAAACCCTCTAGCTTCACTTTCTCTTAATTGACTTAAAAATCACTAATTTTTCTGGTCACATAGCTGGGCAACACTATGTTAATCTTTCACTTGCTTCACACAGTCACGATGGTGGTGATAGTAGCCTGGGTTAGTTTTCTGGGACTAAGGAATGCTGATCCTTGGCTTGGGCCCACGGGATGGCTAGAGTGGGTCTGTCTTCACAGGAAGTTTGTCCCTTCTGCAGCCTTAACCTTTGGGTTGTAAAACCAGCCTCTATCTCAGAGCAAAGCCTGTCCAAGGAAGGGACATGGCCTTTGTCCTTGGAAAAACCCACAGAGCACTCCTAAGCACATTCCCACCCTGCTAAGTTGTTTATCTACAAATAACAGGAGAGATCTACTGAGCCAGATGTCCCTGACTCCGTCAGGATAGGTGGGGACCCATAGCAGCCCCCTAGCAGCCACCAATCAGCATGAGACAGGGAAATACCTAGGATGCCAGATGACCCTCCCAGTAGTTTATGGTGGTTGATAACATGTTGGGAAACCATGTAGTTCAGCACGTCCTCCCCTCTTGGCTTAAACCAA